GTCTTCATTTAGATTTATTATACCCTGCTACCATATTCACTTTAGAAAATGGAGCATATCCAGTGGGACGAGATTTTTATCTAAAGCACATTATTTTTTTCTTAGTCATCATTATATCATCAATATGATGCATTAGGACTCGAACCTAATGCCTTACCCTTATAAAAGCATGTTAATCCATAAGGCATTGGGACTCTAACCCAAAATCTTATTATCATGGTGTACCACTCTCATGGTGTGCTAGGACTTGAAGGCATTTGTCATATCAACACAACTTCCAATAAATGTGCTTTACTAATATTTCAGAGAAATAGATACTACACTTATTGAGTTGCTCAACAAAAGGCTTTGTTAAAGAAAATTTCGTCTTCCTTGTTAGTAAAAGAAACTAGTTTCATGGGAGACAATATATGCTGATCTTTTTAGTCATATAAAAAAAATTTGCATAATCAAATTTCAATAGTTTAATGCAGCGTACATACATTCTGGAAACTATGAAAAGTACACGTAAATCATATGTTTAATACCAAGAGATTGCATTTTATTATACCATGAAATAAGTTATGTCTAACAACCATAAAAATAAGGAGTTATAATCTGTTGCTAGTTGCTTTCTTCTACAATTTAGTTAATAATAGGATCCATACTTATTTCATGTAAACAAAGAAAGAGACACACAATACCACTCTATAACATGCTTTAATTTGTTAAGACCAGAGATGAAAGATCCAACCAATACTTAGTTCTTAAATTAAATGATGGATTAAGCATTAGAAATACAATTGCTAAAAAAAATGGGAACAAGTCTTAACTCTTAAAATATGAATGTGAAATCTTGTTAATTTAACTTATTCTTAATCCAACATGTCACATATTTGACCACACACATCAGGAAAAGAACAAAGCAGAAAAAGAAAGTTATTCCTACAAGATGAATATGCTATAGTATATTTTTTATGGGAAAATATGGTTCAAATGTTTAATGCATTTTTTCCCCGTGGTATTATGTTGTAATCCACCCCCAGAAACTTCAGTAAATCATTGATTTTTTTTCTAATAAACACAATAACATATGAGTTGCAAGAGTTGGAAAACAAACCAGAACACTGGCGAGTGGACATAAAAGCTGAGTAGTTCGGTGTTAGCATTGACTTTTTGAAAGGCTTGACCAAACCTTGACTGATACAGTAAAAATTTATAGACATATGTAACTTTGTTAGAGATCATTTTGATAACGTGTTATGAAATTAAAACAATTTAGTAAAATAGGAACAAGAAATATTGTTATGAAATAAAAGTAATTTAATAAAACATGAACAAGAAATAGAGATAGAGAGAAGGAAAGATTTTCTTCTACTTCAATTGTGTTATATATTCCTATCTATTACAAGACCTTTATATAGGCACGAAAAGTGAAGAATCATTATTATAAAATATGTCATTGAACATGTTATTAAACATTTGAGAGGAAGATCATGGAGTTACAATCATAACTCCATAATTATTAGAGTATTGAGAGTTATGGAGATAATGGAGAAGAGTAGATATCTACCATAATTTAATTTTCTTATAACACCTATTTAATTATAGGGAAACACATAAGTTGCAGATGTACTTGTCCCAAAAAGTCAACTTTTACATACCTTTTAGTACCACCCTATCCATGATGAACTCTGACACGTGGCATTTTCACATTTTTTTATTTTTTTTCCAACAGTTGATGGCTTTCCAGATCACGGTGAACACACATAGATTGTGAAAAAATGTTAACAAGTATTTTCATCTCATTACTCATATGTAATAAGAAAGGAAAGAGAGAGAGAAGAGAAGACAACGGGAAAATAAAGAAGAGAAAGGAAAAAATAAATAAAAGGATTAGTATTACATTAAATACAACTAATTAAGTGTAACTAAATGTAACAACCAACCAAGAAATGACATGTATAATTTAAGCATCTTTTAATATTTTTTCATCTTCCCACGCGCTTTGAGTGAGGTGAACCCACTTTTTCTGCCACCTCATTTTTGAAGAAGGTATTAATTTTATCATAAATAATAATAGGGTGGTACTAGAACGCCCGTAAAGATTGAGTGTGAAACTGACTTTTTGGAAAATATAGACTGTATTTTACGTGCTTTTTCTTAATTATACGACATAGTTTAACTTTACCTCTTATATTATTGGCTCTACTTTAACAAAATCTTTAAAACATGACCTCAAGTTATAAAAATTTATTGGGCATAATTTCTAGCTGTAATATGCGCATATATTAGTTTTGCCATAAGACAGGAGTTCGAGACATTTTCATAAGTTTTAGAGATTGAAGATAGTGCAGTGTGTTACCTATTGGGCAAGATTTTTCAGTTGTTACTGATTGACTTTTTATTTTCAAAATTTAATCATGATCAATTCCAACTGTATTTTCCAATAACAATTTAAGAATATGCATTTTGAGTTTAAAAAGTGTATTATTTTTTGGATTAGACAAACAACTCTTTATATAATGGAGGAAAACGTTGTGAACAATTGAACAATACAATTAACTTTTGACAATACATAACAACTTGAAACCATTTAACACGATAGGTAAAATGAATAGTACCAACTCTTGCCCATCCGTCATAGCTTGTGAACAATTGAGCATACATGCAACTTTTGCGTATGAGGCAAAACTTGTGGCCAATTGAATAGGTTCACTGTGATTTATTGAATGTCCCGAACTCCTGTCTCGTACAAAACTAATTTATGCCCACAACTAATGAACACACAAGAAAAGGTAGAACCCTTAATTGGTACTTTCGTTCTACTTTACTATAGCAATTTTAGGTATGTCGGCCGCTCTTTTGCAAGTGCTCATCTAGCTCCCTCCCTCTCTTTGATCTCTTTTTTTTATAGTCGAATTTGGCCTTTTAGCCATCCCTTCTATCAAATAGAGTTTCCTAACGTTTTTTTTTTCATGATAGCGATATTCTGTTGCTACTTCTTCCCTCGGCTAGTGGAAAAAAATTCTTCTTTTTACCCGGCCCAATGGGCAACAAGAATTTGCCCAAAAGATTTTCTTAAGCGGAGGTCGTTTTTAAAAGGGATTTTTACCTAGATATACTATATTAGAAACCTATTTACTACCTTTATTTAGGTTCCTTGTTAATTACTATATATACCTATATTTACTAGTTTTATACAAAATCATAAAAAAGAGAAAATGCAACATACCTTAAATATAGCGTATCAGTTACACATAATCTCCCTACATTTAAGATTCTCTTCCTTTTCCAAAGGATTACAAAAACATCTTCACTCTTTCTTTAACAATTATCCAAATTTGTACTTACCCACCGTAAGAATTCTCCCTTACCCACTAATATCCAAAATCTTTCTAACCCAAAAATCTTGCTTACTCACTCCTCTTTCAAAGCTTTTGATATCCGATTTCTCTCTTCCAATCATCCACTGTTATCCCCCCAAATTGCAGATTTTTTTCTCTTCCAAAGCTTTTGATATTCGATTTCTCTCTTTCAATCATCCAAAATCTCTTTCTTATTTATACAATACAGAAGAAATTCGAAAATTTGCTCTACAATCAAGTTGTGGGTAAGTTGTGAATTATACTAATACAATTATAATACTATTATATTAAATTTTTAGTGTAGAGTTGTGATTGAAACTCGAGGAAGATGAAGATCGTAATTGTATCACAATTTTCAGAAAATGTATCGCGATTGTATTATAATTATATATGTATCATAATTGTTGCAGGAATTGTATTACATATGTATGATAATTATATATTCATTGTATATTGTTATGAGCAGTTGTGAATTCATGACGAATTTCACAATTTGTATCACAAATATGATAATTATATATTAATTTATTAGTATTATATCAGGTATTATTTTGTGTATTAATGTACCAGATACAAGTTAGATACAATTGTGATACAAGTATCATACATTTATGTTTTAGGCATTGATGTATCTGATACAATTCAACTCAATTATGATACAATTATCATACAATTTTTGAATATCTTTTAATAATATAAAGTTTTCGGCAATGGTGAAGAGAGAAGATGGAGATTTTGGACGTAGATTAAGGGATTTTAATTTTTAAAGAGAGAGAGAGAGAGAGAGAGAGAAGAGGAGAAGGGAAAAAAGGAAAGGATGCAATTGAATCCCTTAATTGAAGGCACTAATAATGGGGTGAGAGCCTTTTAAGAAGCAATGTATACAAGTTGTAAGAAAAACCTAGATACTTATTAAAAACTACAAAACATAGAGAACATAGGTAAATAGGTTTCTAATGTAGTATAGCTAGGTAAAAATCCCTTTTTAAAATTAATTTAAGCGGACCCAAAATTTAAGACCAGCCTTATAGGAATCATTTTTGTAAATCACCCCTACTTCAAAATATTACACAAATTTGCTTATTACGTTGCTCACCTGAGAAACTAGTCTTTAGATATTGCCTCGGTTTTTTACATTATTGCGAAAATAAGCTAATTTGATTCTACATATAGTATAATTGACATTTTTATCCTTCCATTCTTACATTTGTCTCCAACTCTTCATCTTCTTTATCAACAACACTGGTCCTTCAATTTTGAAAGCTTACTAGGGTGGCCAAAAGTCACATTTAAAATTACAGCATCGAACAAGTAACGAAATCGAAAACTAGCTCTAGCTGCTCAATGTCTCGTATAATGCTGCTCGAATTATGTAGGTTGCCATTGAAGGTTTTTACCTCCAAGTTTGCTGGATTAATAGACCATTTTGTTTGTATAAGTTTCAATGAGGGATCTAGAAATGCTCACTAGAGGCCTAGCTCTCCCTTACCTGGAGGATTTGTAAAGGTTTTATGGACTTCTGACTATTTTTAACCACTCGAATTAAATGATTTATCTGCATTGGCTTAGAGATTACAATTTAACGGTCAAACACAAGTCCACATTGAGGACGACCACCAGGAATTTTTAGTCATTCACTGGAATAGAAGAGAATAATGAATGAAGCTAGGCTTTAGGTAATGCAGAACTTTCAAGTCGTACATCAAGATTAACAAACTATGAAGTTGTAACCTAAAATCAACAGAAATATACTTTGACAACTCAATATAAGTCAACATTTCTTGTATCCTGCGACAGGAAACTACTTGCAGTCAAGTCGTGGAAAGCTCACTCTTGGAAGATAATCACAGAATTGGTTGAGGATCTTGGACAACCTAACAATTTCTCAGCCAATTGAAAAAAATATCGGGACACACAGTCCGTTGAACATCTCCTGCACTTTCTTGTCTTTGATATGATAAAGAACTTCTCCAAAACAGTCGCATTCTTTAACAGAAATTTTGAAAGTTCGAAAAGCTTGTCACAGCCCTGTGTGAAATGATCCTTCAAGCACACCCCCAAGGAGTTGATAATCTTAACATTCTTGAGGCTGGGACACACAAAGCTTGAAGTCCATCTCCGCAAATCAACATTATCTCCTTTGGCCAAATATCTTAACTTAAAGTGACAGAAGGAATCATGAAGCTGGAGACAGAGAATGTAATCAGGACCATATGAAGGTAGCTTAATGGAAATTGCACTAAAGTGACAATGTGATTCCATAGCAGAAGTGTGTGGTAGAGAATTATTTCAGAACCAACAAATCTTAATAGTACTTGAAAACAGACTAGGATGGGTGTTCATATCATAAAGATTCATGGCATAAGTAACCCAAGAAATGAGTGATAGCGCAAAAACCTTTTCGTCTCATAGCTCATTTGCTAAAGGCAGTGGCGGAGCCACCTTATACCAAGGGATATCAATTCGCCAGAAAATTACATTGTGTAGCTATGTACCTTTTTTTTTAAATGTATGAATATTATATGTTGAATCCCCTGACTTCTTCGTATATTTAAATTTTTTTATTTTGACACCCCTTAGTGAAAATTCTAACTCTGCCACTGGCCAAAGGTAGCAACACAACAGTGACATTAGCAAAGCTTCTGACAATAAAGGATATATTTGCATTCTACTTCAGAAACAACTTTACGGGAGAGGGAAGTGTTAAACCATCATAAAATGAATTTGTAAACAGAGGAGAAAAAGTTCCAGGAAGTTACACTCATCGTTGCCATGTCTATGTTGAGTGTCTCCACATGAGGCGAGGCTCGCAAAAGGCTAGCTACCCCATACAAATTAAGCTTTTTCAAATGCAACTCTAGCGTTAGATATTTGCATTTTAGTTCTGGAATTGGCACCTCTTCGAGCTGCAGCATGCACAGGACCTGCAACATGAGATTGTAAGCAGCTAAGCAGACTTTGTCGGTTAATTTATGGAAAATGGTCTTAACCCTGTTGTGATACTCTGATAAATTAAAATCGAATATATTAAGGGGTCAGAGCTGGCAAAATATCTTTATAAATTTGATGATTTATAAAGATATATTCTGCAACTGGAATTTATTAATTGTCTTCTTGTTCAGAGTGGTCTCTACAATCTGCATAAAAGTTCCCAATTGCATCTGATTCTGAAAACCTTTCTCCTTTTGCAACTTTTTGCTAAAAATCAAATAGAGTAAATAAGGTATTTTGACTAATAAACAAACCTCTGTTAACCATGTTCCAATTGTGAGGTTGGTCACATTACTTAACTTTTGAAGATAATCTTGCACGACTATGATAAATGATTGATGATAATCACGACAACTGTCCTCTGCATCATCGACATAATATCCATTCCAATCCTGAATATCTTTTTCGCAATCAATTTTGAAAGTAAGTTTAGCATTGACCAAAGAGGATACATTTAGTAGCCTGCACTTGAGATCAGAAATACTTCCAGAGATCTCCAAATGCTGAAGATATGGCGCAAAAATTTCCAAGGAATGATCATCTTCGACATCCAACAACCTCCAGCTTTTAATATTTAGTCTCTTCAAATTTGACGAACTAATTTCCAGACGACGGAAACCCATGCATAAATTAAATTCCAAAGTTTCCAAAGCAGGAGAACCTGACAGTAGGTTCACAATATCGTCACCATCTAACACCATATCGATCAACACTAAGCTCTTTAGCGACTTCCACGCTATAATTACTTCTTTATCAAGTGCACAACGGATCAATTTCAATGTTATCAACGATGAACAAGTGCAGATGAATTGAGGCAATGTGAAAATGTCATAATCATCACCAAATGACTTCAATTCAACATGTTCCACTCTTTTTTCGACAGCAAACGCCAGCCATTGGCTGTATTGCGACCAGTAAACATGCTGCCAACCGAAAGTGAGCTGGAATTTTTTGATTTTGGAAGAAGTGCAACGAGCTAATGCATAGTCTACATAGGATATAAAGGCTTCTTGTCGCATATTTTCTGCGTCAGTGAAATTTAGGTTATAAACTGAAGTACAGAGATACTGCCACCTTTTTGATAGAATACAGGTTTTGAATGCCTCCTTGGTTGGCAAAAGAGAGAGAATTTGAATTAGGAGTGAGTCCGGCAATTGACTGATTCGGTCGTCTAGGGTTTCTTCAACTCCGGTGACAGTCACTGTTTGTTTGTTAGATGGATTCCCTAAATCGACGGAAGCCATGATCTTGAGTCTAGAATTCGGATTTTGATGAATTTTGGCCTGGAATACCTTTGCGTATTCAGCATTGGATAATTACTTTGGAAATTTAAACTAAACTATTAACGCGTTTAGGTGAAACACATTTCTGCCCAGAATCATTCAATAGTCAAAACACTTGAAAATTTTCGTAGCGAATATTTAATATTGGAGAAATGCCAAGTCAAAGTAGCATTTGTGCCAGTCTTCAAAATAGATGTATATCTGATTTGTTACCTCTTTCTTCTTCCCTTCCCACACTTTTTCTTCTTCCCCGACTCTTTCTTCTTTAGTCTATCTCAAAACAATAGAAACAATTAATTTTTGTGACTTGTTTTACGGTTCTCACTTTCTCTCTTCTAATTTTTGTTGCAACTTGCAAGTAACATCATTACATATCACGGTGTTCCTCCGCTCCACTTTAATTAATTTTTTAATCTTTTTTTTGTAGTTCACAATATTTAAGTTGCTCTGATGGTAAGCACCCTCCACTTCCAACCAAGAGGTTGTGAGTTCGAGTCACCCAAGAGCAAGGTGGGGAGTTCTTGGAGGGAAGGATGTAGGTCTGCGTCCACACTACCCTCCCCAGATCCCACTAGTGGGATTATACTGGGTTGTTGTTGTTTTTTGTGGTTCACACTATTTAATTTTTTCCAGATATTAAGACGCTTGGAGTAAAGAGCCCAAGAATATTCGTTATATTTTCAATAAACAAATTAAATTTAATATGATCAATTTTATTGTTAATTAATGCCGAAAGACGCATTTTCACAATATGATTATGTCTTGGTTTAGTTAAATTTTGTTGACATGATTAATGTAGGTGTTGCAAACTTCAGTCACTAAGAGAGAGAGGCAACGAAATTATACACACTCCCTTGGAATTTTGACTAGAATGTCTGATGAAATTACACTTTTTAAAATTGCGGCCTCTCTTGTCTCCTGCACAATGTACTCGGATATGGAGCAATAAGATTTTCTTTTAATCCTTCAGTTTAATCATGAGATACATATGCCCTATAAATTGTTTTTATTTAAATATTCCTTCTTCAAATATTGAAAATAGGCTTGTACAACAACAACAACCCAGTAGAATCGCACTAGGGTTTGGAGAGGGTAGTGTGTACGCAGACTTTACCCCTACCCAAAGAAATAGAGAGGCAAAAATAGGCTTGTAGTTCTTCCAAATTCTAAATACCAGTTCGCATTTACTTGGGTTGGAAATCCTACGCATCAGATTCTTGAAATAAATCAGCACTTATGACTGCAGAAAATATTGATTGGAAAGGAAAGATGAGGTAAGAATTTCCTTAAAAGGTGCAATTTAATGCACAATTTACCATTTTATACATATTTTGTCCTTAATGAAAAATATATTTGGCCACACTAATAATGACCCAAACGTCCAGAATGGGGGCATTATGGTAACTTCACACACCTTTTGAGGGCATAATGGATAATTGTGTATTTTTATTTTCCATCTCTACCCTTTAGCAGATTTTTATTTTAATTCAATTTTTTCAAGTAACTCTCTCTCGTTATTTTAATTGTATTACCTTCCCAAGGCTTCATTCATATATACACATGCACGGCTACATCATTTTTCGTAAAGCACTCAATACACATATACACATACTACACCAAACGAAATACATTGAAATATATACATAGTATATTAGAGGAAATAATCAAACTGAACAATTTTTTGATATCTTCATCCCTACAAACATTCCAGCTAACAACACAGATGAAATAATACTTGCTCCATTTCCACCTTCAACCCCTACACCACTTTCATCTACAAACGAACTTGAAGATGGTTCTTTACTGTCAGTATTTTCTTCTTGGAATTCATTGAATGTTGTTATGGCTTCACCATAAGATCTGTAAGACTAGAAGATGCTTCCTTTGAAACCTATAATCATAGGAGCACACTCACACCAAGAGCTGTATAATCCGGGCCTTTTACTATGAAATACCACATACACCTTTGATGTCGATATATTATCAGCTTGACAACTTTTTCTGAACTCATTGAATGCTGCTATGGCTTCATCATACGATTTGAAAGCCTTGAAGATGCTACCATTGACACCAGTGACCATAGGAGCACACTGACGCCAAAAGTTGTATAACCAGGCCTCTTACCACGAAATACAACATAGACTTTCGAAGCATTATTCCTCTTCACGCCCCTCATTCCTTAATCTAACCCTTAACTCTAAAAAAAAGATAAGAGATGAAGAAGGAGAAAATAAAGATAGAAAATGGGGCCCGAAAAAGCTTCTTAGGTGAAGCACTATACATTGAAAAGTTTAGTTCTAAGTGTCAAAGTGTTACCATCTACTGACTAGGTGTTAAGTAGTTATAAGTGTTAGATTCATTTTGCACCTATTTTAAACCTTACTACATTGATTCATGATATTCATCAGATTTTGGACACTGTCCGAAATGTTAGATGAACTTTCTACATTTGTTTGATTCTGGAAAATTGTAGTAATGTCAGATTTTGGACACTATTTGATTCATCTCTAAAAAATTCCTTCTTTTGACAAGAACTTGGGAAGTTTTCTTCATAAGTATTTCTTCTATTCTCAACTATCTTCAAGTTTTTTACATATTTCTTGATATTATATTTTTCTACTGTCCAAGGTTGGTGTCATAAATTCAATGTGCTATCTTAATTTGGCAAAGAGTTGACCACCTTTAGAGAACTTAATTAATCTTTACAAATGCTTCTCTTAGTTCTTTCATTACATTAGGCATCAAACGAACAATTGCACCTTTGAAGATAATTGGATTGTTTTGTTAACCGGCATCAAACAATCATTTAAGTAAAAACAAATGATTCAAAGACATAACAATATATTTTCATTAATATGAGATTTCATAACATCACCAAAATATAATAAGATCAATAAAAACATCACCATAAGGGGTAGACAAATTCATAGATTCTTAAAAAAGTTTCACCATAAATAAAAGACAACTTGAGAGAAAACTTCATAATACATGGACTACTCAATATTCTGGGTCACAGAGAAAGATTTGGTGGTCTTGGAGGCGGATTTAGTGTCATTTGTGATAACAATAATAGAATTGCTCTTAGCTCCATTCTGGACGGATGGTATGGGCATATCATCAAGCATGGTATAAATTGAAGTTAGTGGATGCTACTCCAACATGACACTTTTTAGGTAATCAATGCTCGAGTCACGAACCAACCTCTCATTCAATTCATTAACCTCATGCTTCAGCTTAGTAAAGTCAAGCTTAAGATCTTGGTACAAAATATTATGACTAACAGGTGAACCATGGAGTGGCTGTTCAACAACTTTCTTGATCAGAGTCATATCCATTGTTATGCTTAGATGTAGTAGCAGTTTCAGTTTGTTTGTTTTATATAGGGTTAGCATACAAAAAAAATATATAGGGAGAGTTATAATAGCTATTCCACTTCCCAGCAGGACTTAAAGATTCTCTGTAGAGACCCTATGCAGCCATTACACTTCCCAGTAGCCACATGTACTCCTCCATGCGGATATTACACTTTCCAGTAGCCACTTCTACTCCTCCATGCATCCATTACACTTTCCATTATACTTTCTAGTAGCCCCTTCTACTCCTCCATGCAACCATTACACTTCTCAATAGTCAATTTCACTCCTCCATGCACTATTACACTCCTCCATGCAACTATTATTCTCCTCCATGACTACAATTAATTATCGAAGCTTGTCTTTATCCATCCACCTATACAGATTTTGGATAATTTTTTTTATTTTTAACTTCTTCCATATCGTGGCAGTGCCCTTCATAGATTTTATCTCATAGTCTTAACCTTAGATTTATCATACTTGAGTAAGCCATGTAAAGGTTATTTGACCCTTGTTTAAGTTTAGGTTTAGGTTTAGGTTCTCTTTTAGTTTAGGTTTGTTTAGGTTTAGGTTTAGGTGTTGGTGGTTGAATTCTAATTAATAACGGACCGGTCTTCAAAATTTTGTATTGGTAAATATAATTTTTGATTTTCCGTGTTGATTTTTCCACTTCTCTATGAGCAAATTAATTTATTTTCCGACTTTATTTTAAGATAAACTTCCCAGTCTTGTTCTTGGTTATAAAAGGATAGAAAAGAAGAGGGGGACTTGGCCTAAATGATGAATGCTAAATAATATCTTGGTTGTAGTTTCAGTTTAGTCATTTTTTGCTCTAAATATATTAAATAATTTTCATTATAAATAGGCTTTTTTTAATCGAGTAGTCTTCTTAACATAAATAAATATAACAATAATCATTAAAAAAAAAATACAAACAATATTATAAGGAACAATCATATTAATCCAGAAACATATTCCTACAATACTACTTTGATCCATTTGAAGTCACTACATATAACTAAAAGCACATATGACGAGCTAAGCATTAGGTGTTCCTTGCACTTGAACAAAGAAGATCACAACCCTTGATGTAGCCTCAACTAGTTTAAAGAGAATAACACTCCCTTTCTTCAGATTATTGTCGACAATAAATTATTTTCACCCCTTAACGAGTCTTCTCCGAACACCACATGTGAGAGTCGCAACCCACTCCTTCCCATTACATAAAAGCATTGTTTTAACTGAAATAGGAGTAAGATAGTCACATATGCTCTTTGAAAGAATCTGCAAGAATATAATGTAAAGATAGGGTTCAGGGTTTATTGCTAGTCGGGATAATCAATAGTTATCATATCATGAAAAAAAAAATTACCAGATCATCACGCTTAATATACGATCTGGGCATGTTCATCCTAAACCATGGATAGAAATCATCTTCAATCCATCCGTTAGCATTCATGTTTAGAGTATTTATTTTATTTGGAGATTTGAAAATATTGTTTAACACTTTAACTTGTGTTTAAGAGATATATAAAGAGTTAAAACTTTTAATTTTCCTCCAATCGTATTTTTTACTTTTCCCTTTGTTTCCCTCCGAAAATTTTATTTGACATTTTAGTCTAAAATTGTTATTTAGTTTTCCCTCCTAATAAAGAAGCTAGAATACATTTTAGTCCTAAAATTTAATCATGTTTTCCCTTTTATTATAATTAAGATTAACCAATAAAAATATATAGAATTATATATTAACTATTATATAAACTGTCAATATGACCTTAATGAATGAAATTATATATTGGCTATGTATAACATATGCTATGTGACTATAACCTTAGTCAATGGACTTA